AAGTTCACGACTACAAATCACTACTTTTTTTCAAATCAATCCTCGCTTTCTTCTTCAATTTTCAAGATCCATTCGGACTCCATCTTGTATCTTGACATATTCTTGTGCTTTCTCGAGTACTCGCTTTCGAACTTTTCTCAGAGCGGCACCTAACATTGCCTCTAAATTCAACTCTTCATTGCTTTGATTATACCATTTAATAGCATTAACAGCATTCTCAACACCCAATCGACCTAAAATTAAAAATAATTGATAAAATTGTACTAGATCAACTGAAGAACAACTTTCTGTTGAGTTTTGGTAATTTAAATAATTTGAACTTTATATTTTTTGAAAAATATAGTAAGGGCAATTTTGTGAATTTTATCACTACTCTGGGGTGAATTGAAAATTTATAGTTAAAAGACTCGGTATTGTTTATGAGAAATCCTCACTTTTTTTTGAAACTTGCCTGTACTAATCCCGCTAGCAGTCATAAAATGAGCACTTGTATTTGCATCACCTATAGCTGCAATAATTGCTGAATCTTGAGTTCCATAAATTTGCTTTACAGGATTTTCAATTCCATAAATTGCCACATAAAAGTGCTTGTATTAGCTCTGTGAGGGTCAAAATAAAGAACCTGTTCCGGTTCATGAACTAATTCTTTGCCTCTATAGCTTATACTTGAACTTCCAACATGTTCATCACCTTCAATAACTACTTCTTCGAGTCTCTCCGGATGTCTAGTAGAAAATGTATAACTAAAAAGAGCTTTGCCCCATCTTTTTTGTAACTCTTCGTGAAAATTATCATAATATTCCTTCAAATCCTCATTATTTCCTTTTTCAATTTGTAAATCATCAAAAAGATCTACAAGTGCTCTAGGTGTTATAGATGCAATATGCAATGTTGGATTTGATTCAAAGAGACGAACAACGATTTGTTTATCTTGTAATATCATCTCGGTTAAATACTCATACTTCGTCTTAAACTCATATGATAGAAAACCAGATTGCCAAATCAATCCATCAATATTTTGTTTCATCAGATGTTCCCTCATATGATCCATAGGATCACGATAGAAAGCAACAGAGTCTTCGAATACTTTAATGCTAGGATTCATTTTATTGAAGATAACAACACCATAATTTTTTGATTCTGTCAATTGTTGTGCTGGCTCTGAAAATATGGAGAGCTATTCTATGCGAAAAATGTTCAACTGTGTCGGCCTAATAACGCGCTCCGCTTATGTTTAAAAGACTTGATAACGTTCAAAAGAATATATAAATTAATTATTTTTGTAATCTAACCTAGAAAGTTTGTTCGTATGTGGTCTCTGGCACCACCAGCACAGAAAAACAAATCAAAAGGAATTCCAATCATTTCATCTGATTCGGAAATTGTAATTCCTTCATAATTCGTTAACATTTTTCTCACATGATTAAAATTAAACAATTCACGACGCTTTTCTGGAGCACCGAGGATGGCCAAAGGTTTTAGATAGTAGTCAGTATATATGTTCGAAACTGCTGTATTATAGATCAAATTCAGAAATGATTTTTCATGTTGATTTCCCTGTTTTTCTTCCCTCTTACTTATATAATTAGATAAATTTTTTAACCTTTCTTTCAAAAAAGTTTCCATATTTTTCATGTTAACAAACCCAATATCTTCATCAAGGAGACTTCCCAACGATTTTCCTTCTTTATCAAATAATTTATCAAATTCAGTACCCAAAAAGAAACGTAATTGTGACATCCATTTTCGATCAAAAAAGACAACTCGATTTCGTGTGTACTCTTCGGAACGGTCATTTACCAGGGTTACATTCACTCCTTCTAAATAGTTTTTAATAGACATTAAATTGAACTTTCTCGCAGACTAATTGCATTTTATGCTTACCTAGAAACGAGATAGGTAAATAAAAAAGTAACATAATATCTAAAGTTCGGTCACAACACCTAATTTCATTTCGGACACATGAAATTTCTATTAAATTCTAAATTAAAACTTTTGTTTTCCTCTTCATTCGTTTTAATTTTTAAAATAATCAAATTACCCATAAAAAGTTTGTAGGTAGCATATAAACCGACTGGACCAGCACCCTGAACAACTGAGTGCATATTTTTGAGTTTTGCTCTGTGTTCCTCATAAATTCTTTCATTTATAGCTTGATCCAATTTTTTGGTTTGTATTTTCGATAATTCAAAAATCTTTTTTAAATCCTTCATGTTAGGATCACTTTCCATAAAAGAGAATATATCAATCAAAGAGCCTTCTCCCCCTTCAGAATACAAGTCTCTAATAAACAATTTACAGCGTATAACTAATTCGATTATTTCCTCGCAACGGTTTCTTGAGTTTGGAGGGGAAGTTTCATGATAAAAGGGGTGAGGGGAAGAGTGATGAGAAGATGTTGAAGGTGTAAAACATTGACAAATTTCCGAAAGCCAAATTTTTCTTCTCGAAAGTATTTCCTTCCTTTTTTCAGGAGCTTCATGCAATGCTTTTTTTGTTTCCTTTTGTATTCCATCATATTTTTCCAAATCATTTTTAACATTATTATGATCACAGAAGTTGATGTTGCCATTATTTGAAGTAAATAATCTAACTTTATTTGAAAGATTTGCCACCGCATTATTAAACACGCCATTAAATGCTCCAGAATTTCCTGTATTTTGAAGGTAAATCCATTCATCATGCATAAGCACATCATTCGATTGTGTACTTCCTCTAGGTATTCCAGTGTTATCTATCTCGGCAATGTTAACTAACTGTCCGATACGCCAATCTTCGAAGCCAATGGCTATAAAAATTTTTTTAATTTGTGGACTCAATTTTTGGAGTCTCCCATGCTTACTTCTTTGCCATTGTGGAGACCTCTATTATCTAAAATCCACCCCTCCCATCAAAAATAACACATTTGACCAAGTTTCTCATCCTATCGAAAACTTATGAAAAATCCTTTTGTGAAAAAATAAGAAATAAGAATAGACTTACATTCATCGAATTTGTATCGAGTCTGAGGGAATTCATCGCCTGAAAACAAGGCGTAGATAAGATTTTGTTGTATTGTTGCCATCAACCTATCCTCATTATAAGCAACATTATTGTCAAAAAATGAAGCCAGAATCAAAGCAGAACAAACAAGATTGAAAGGCAAAAGAAGCATTTTTGCTTTGCCTTTTTTTGGATACTTTCAGATGGAGGATTTTTATAATTTTTAAAGACTTTAAAGGGTTTGAAATTTCTTTTCAATAACTGATTGAGTTTGGCTAGAATAAATTTGTTTATATGGATGGACATTAATAAAGTGGAGAGCTAAGAGAGTAAAAGGGAGGAGTTTGAAGAGAGTTAAGGCAATCTTACCCAATCCTATCCAAATTTACGTCAATCAGTAAGGAAAATTTAAATTTACTCGGAGAAGGCAAAAAGAAGGAAGATAAAAAAATTTCTGAAAATTGCTCTATCCTTTCCGGAAAGATACAAGAATTGCTTTGCCCATGTAAGAAAGGCAATGAGAAGGGGAGGTCTTCATTGGAAATATAAATTTTTAAAGATTTTGCTAGTCTGAGCAAAAAATAGTAAAATTTATTATACAACTTGGTTGCAAATACATAAACTTGAAAATAAAATTTCAAAAACAATAAAATTTTATCGTTAAATATTATAAAGAATTTTGCTCTTATTGGCCAGATTTGATGATTCTATGTATGTATTTCTACTGTTTCTTGACATTAGCAATCAAATAATTCATAAAAGACAAATATTAATTCAATAGGTTCGCAGCGATAAAAAGGGAAATATGATATCTAAATAATAGAAAAACATTTTCATTAACACCAAATCGTTTTCATCAAAATAGGGAATGACAAAAATGCGACACCATTCAATTGTTTTAACTTAGAGGCGCGGATATTTTTTCCATCAATTTTCTAAAATTTAATCACCTACCCGAAAAATTAATTTTCTATCTGATGAATACCAACTCAAAAAAAATGAAGAAAATAAAATAGTTTCAATTTATCCAACTCCAAAAAGAATACAATTCAAAAAAGATAAATAATGTGGATCTCAACGGTCAACAATGTTGAGTCCTTGTGGTGAATTTTTGGATAATAAAAAAAAATTAAAAATAGATGATATACATAGTATATATGGGCATTTCAAAGGTTAAAAATAATTTTGACTCCCTGTATACCTTCATATTTGATTGAGGACTACAATTGAGGGTTCGGTATAGCGGGAATCATATATATTTTTTAATCAAAGATAACGCTAGACTATAAGCAGTGCTGAGTATTTACTCTTTTACAGGTCTGAAGCACCTTTTTAAAAAAAAGTTCCAGCCCAAAAGCTAAGATATTTTTGAATTAAAGAAAGGTATTTTTCAAATTACAGCCAGGTCCCCGAGTTTAGACCAAAACTGTTTGAATCATACCCAGCACTAGTTTAAAATGTTTAGATTCAAAAAAGATAAATAATGTGGATCTCAACGGTCAACAATGTTGAGTCCTTGTGGTGATTATAACTAGGGTTATAGGTTCTAAACGAGGATTCATAGTTTGTTCTTGAGTTCAGTTCCTCATTTCCAAAAATGTGCTTCGGTTCAAAAATCAAAATTTAGACAAGACTTATCCCATAACAAAGCAAGTCTTGCCCCTTAAGATCAAGAATTATCAACAAAACTGCTGGAGAATGTAAAGAATTTTTTTACTTTTTCTGTAGAACGCATAAGTCTTGCATTTTTTAGTCAGAAACAAAATGTAAATAGGGCACGGTAAACTGAGATGGGGAACCCTGTTGCGGATATCTTGAGATTTCCACGAACACACAACCCTAGTTATAAGGATACGTTTTTTCTAAACTATATTGACGTGAAAACCTTCAATTTCTTCTTCAATTTTCAAGGTCCATTGTTACTCCGTGATTTATCTTTACATATTCCTGTGCTTTCTCGAGTACTCGTCTTCGAACTTTTTTCAAAGAGGCATTTAACCCTTCATCATTAACTGCATTCTCAACTCCCCATCGACCTTAAATTTTTCTATAAATTATGTAAATTAAGTTTGGATAAGAATAAGATAAGAATAAATAATTTCGCCGGGCAGAATCGACTTGTAACTTTCTGGGAATTATTATTAGAAGCTTACACGTATTCAAATGCTTTAATGACTCTAAAAATGTCTCAGAATAAAAACTTGCCTGTACTGACTCCACTAGCGGTCATAAAATGAGCACTTGTATTTGCATCACCTATAGCTGCAATAATTGCTGAACCATGTGTTCCATTAATTTGCTTTACAGGATTCTCAATTCCGTAAATTGCAACCCAAAAAGTGCTTGTATTAGCACTGTGAGGATCAAAGTAAAGAACTTGTTCCGGTTCATGAACTATTTCTTTGCCTCTATAACTTGTACTTGCAACAGACTCATCACCCTCAATAACTACTTGACCGAGTTTCTCTGGATGTCTAGTAGAAAATGTATAACTAAAAAGAGCTTTGGCCCATTTCTTTTGTAACTCTTCGTGAAAATCGTCATATTGTTTTAATATGTGCTCATTTTTGTTTTTCATTTCAGTTAATTCATGCCAACGCTCTAAATCTTCCATGGAAATAAGTTGTAAAAACAAATTATATTCATCTTGATGCAATTCATTAGCACGGCTTTTTCTCTCTTCATTAAATGCATCAATAAATTTTACAAGTGCTCTAGGTGTTATTGAAGCAATATGCAACGTTGGATTCGACTCAAAAAGACGGACAACAATATAATCATCTTGTAAAATCATTTTAGTTAAGTTGGCAAGCTTTGATTTAAGCCGATCAGAAAGAAAATCAGCTTGCCAAATCAATTCATCAATATTCTGTTTTATCAGATGTTTCCTCATAAGAGACATACGATCACGGTAGAAAGCAGCAGAATCTTCAAAGACTTTAATGCTGCGATCCTTTTTATTGAAGATAACAACACCATAATTTTTTGATTCTGTCAATTGTTTTGCTTGCTCTGAAAATATGGAAATAATACAGCTTTTAACAAGATAAAGTGATTGGACTAATAGAGTCAAGGTAAACGGCCCCTAAGGTTAATAGAGTCACGAAAATGTTTGATTACCCAAAAATTGATTGCGGATTTGATCATTTGCACCACCAGCACAGAAAAACAAATCAAAAGGAATTCCTACATCATTCCTTCCAAAAGATGTCTGAATTGGTATTCCTCCAATCTCCTTCAATTCTTCTCCCAAATTTCTAATTCCAAAAGCTTTTCCTTCAACTTGAAGTTGGGCAAGGGTTTCAGCCTTTATATACTCCACAGCATTATCTCCTTTATAACGAGTATAAGCAAAGTAAGGATTTTCATCTCCAAAATGTTGTTTAATTTGTTCCAAATAGCTCTGCAATAGGGAATCATGTGCTTGTTGGTAATCTCCATTATAGTGTTTATTTGCCACAGACTGCAAAAAGGTTTGGGCAGAGGGATTGAATTGTTTAGCTGGAGTGCCAAGAACAGCCAAAGGCTTTCCATATTGTGTGTTTATGTCCAAAACTGCTGTCTCATATAGCAAATTTAAGAATAAGTTTCCTTGTTTTCCTTCTTTCTTAATTATATAATTTGATAGCTTTTTTAACCGTTCCTTCAAAACATTTTCCATATTTTTTATATTAACAAACCCAATATCTTCATCAAGTAAACTCCCCAACGAGTTCCCTTCTTTATCAAATAATATATTAAATTCAGTGCTCAAAAAGAAACGTAATTGTGACATCCATTTTCGGTCAAAAAAGACAACTCGATTTCGTATGTACTCTTCAGAACGATCATTTACTAGAGTTACATTCACTCCTTCTAAAATAGTTTTTTAATAAATCGGAAATTGCCGGTTTATCGTAGTTGGAATAAGACCTGGTAATGGACATGGATTTTGATATCCGTATCCCGATATTTAAACGGATATCCGCAGGATTATGACTTATCTGTATCCATATCCCTTACCAAGCATGGTTAGAATTAAAAAACCCTATCCAAAGCAGTTGAAACGGGTTGGGAACCAGAGATGTGGGCCAAAGTTTTCGCGTGGCGAGTTACTTTCTTTTTAGCGCCGCAGGAAGTTGTAGCCAGACGTATTTTTCTAATAAGCTTCTGAAGCCCTGCTTTTCAATTTCTCTTTTAATCATTCAACTTCAGCCCAGTAAGTTTTAAATGTAGCCATCTGAATCTCCCTTATTCTGTAAATATGTCTTACCAATAAAAAGTTTGTAGGTAGCGTATAAACCAACAGGACCAGCCCCTTGCACAATTGCATTTTTATATCCTTTTCTCATTTTATTCACCAAATGCTCTTGGTAAATTCTTTCATTTATAGCTTTATCTAACTCTCGACTTTGAATTTTAGACTAATTTAAAATTTGTATAAGATTTTCAAATTCTTCATGATTTTCCATAAAAGAGAATATATCAATCAAAGAGCCTTCTGCCCCTTCAGAATGTAAATATCTAATAAACACTTTACAGTGGATAATTAATTCGATTAGTACTTCACAATGGTTTTTTGTGTTTGGAGTGGAAGTTTCATGATGAGATGTTGAAGGTTTGTGATGAGTGGAAGTTTCGGGATGAGAAGAGTGTGGAGGAGATGTTGAAGGAGTAAAACATTGACAAAAATTCGCAAGCCATTCCTTTCTCATCGAGTGTCTTCTTCTCTTTTCTTTTTTTGGCATATCAGGACTAATTTTTAATGTTGTTCTGATTTTCTCTTGTTCTTCATCATATTCTTTCAAATCTTTCTCAGCAGTAATATGATCACATGAGTTTAAGTTGCTATTTTCTAAGGTAAAAACTGCAACTTTATTTAAAAGACTTGACACAGCAGTATCAAACACTCCAACATTCACATTATTTTGAATCCATTTACCCTGCACATAAATCCACTCATTTTGAAGGTGAATCCATTAGTAGTAAGTCCCCCACAAATGTATCACTTGAGGGGTCCACTGAAAAAGCCTGTGCCTGAGGTGCGGTATTTTTTCTTTGAAGATGCCGCCAAATCAGTGCCTAGAGGGCACTTTTTTGCGCGAAAAGTTAAATTTTGGCGCAAAACCCCTCCCTTTGGGAGAGGTTTGGATTAATTTTGCGCGAAAAAACAATGTTTTGGCGCAAAACCCCTCTTCTTTCGGTAGGGGTTTATAATTTTTGGGGGGTCCCGGATATTTACCGCACTCAGGCACAGGCTTTTTCAGTGGACCCCTCAAGTGATACATTTGTGGGGATAAAAAATTTATTTAAAATATTTATTTAAAATAAAATTCTTTAAAATAAATTTTATTTAAAATTTTTTAAAATGAATGCGGAAAATGATAGGTTTGATCATTTTCTGAAAAACGCCTAGGAACGCCCCCTTTTTTTAAAAAATTAGAAATATTCAAATTTCTCAAAATTTTCGCCTGCGGTGCTGAGAATGAAGACTTGTGTATATAGGAGGATTTGAATGGGGTTATGTGGATTTTAATGATATCCGGACAGTTCAAGGGATCTAAGGGAATAGCGAGAGATTTTGCCTTCTGAAACCTGGGTGTTCCCACTTGACCTTCATAAATTCTCAAAATCTAAACCAGCGGCGCAAAAAGAGAGGGATTTTTAAACAAAGCCACTCCAATTATAAAAAATATTGATATTTTTACAAATTAATTTCATTTACATATAAATTGCAGCATTTTGATGCATTCTACTCATAAAAAGTTAAAATTTTTTATTTTGAAAAAAATCCCAAATCTCGGGCGGGATCCCGGATAATTATTTTCGGGATTTTTGAAATTCGGGATTTTTTTCGGGATTTATCCCTCGGATCCTGTCCCGGCATCGGTTGAGAAAAAACCCCGACTCGGGATCCCGGAAATGCATTTTGCCGACATTTAATGACGAGTGGCCTGCGACCAAGTGGCCCGCGATTAAGTGTCCGTGTCCTGCTTATTTTTAAAAATTTTATTTTGACACGAAATTATACAATGTAAAAAAATTGATTAGGCGCGCGGCCATAACAACTTTTTTCTTCCCTATTTTGGATTGGTCACCCTTAAGTTTAATTTTTTTGATTTTTTATTTTAGAAAATTTTTCTTTAATTTAATTTATGACTGAAGACAAACAACTTTTCATATTCACACATATGCTTCCGGGCAACGAGAATCTTTTGCTTGAGAGGTTTCTAATTTGATTTACTTTTATTATTTCGAGATTTTCAGGATTAAAGAATGTGTAGAAAAACGAAATAAAGGTTATTGCTCTACTTCGCCGGGATGTACAGTGCTTCGAAGAATTCCAGCTGAAGATGTTTTGCAAGTTACTGCTGGGAATAATTATGTTGCTTTCCTTCTCAAGGTTTTAGTTCAAAGTAGGGTTGAGGGTTAGTTCTTTCGGGCGGCCACGGATGCCAAAAAAATTTAATGTCGGTTCGAATCCGTATTTGTTCGGACTGTTACAAATCCTTATTTCTTCGGACTGCAAACGCCGTTTCGAGTCGGGCCGACGGCGAGACTTTTTTCGGGCCGTACGAGTCTTTTTCGGACCAAATAACTTAGGCCCGACTCTATTTTCCAGTCCGAGTCGGTCCATTTTGGCAATCCTAATTACGGATTTTCGAAGATTTTCTAAGAGCCAACAACTAGCTCAATGTATCCCCACGTCTATTGATACATTTTTAGGATCATCGAGTCGCTCGTCTTCGTTATGAGATTGTTGCCAACACTATTGAATCTACCGCTCCGACGGACAAGAGTATTTTAATCTTTTAATTTTTAAAACGATTTTTTTGTTTGAGATGAATCCGGCCCTGGTTCATCAACAGCTCCAGCTACCACCACTGCTGGTTCCTCTGATCCAGCGTCAGCTTCTGCAAATGCTGCTGCAAACGCCGCAAATCGGACTGCAAAAATTCGGGTTTGTTTTTTGCTTTTTTTTACAAATTTTAAATTTATTTGTAGCGAATTATGATGACACGTCCAGGGACTTGTTCCGGTGGATTTTGTCTCACTGGAGTTGTGATTGATAGAAATCGTCCTCGACTAATGATTTCTGCCTCTTCCGTTCCAAAAGATTTAATCGTGCAATGCCAGGTTTTTTCTATTTTTCATGCTTTCTTAAGATATTTCTAGGTTGTTTTACAAGGCAAATCTCATGCTGCGATTGTTCGTGAATTACAACGCATTAATTTAAATGTCAACGAGTCAATCGACAATTTACTTTCTCGCGATGATGATGAAATTGATGATTTGGATGACATAAGTGAGGCCTACCCACACGAAGAGCTGCTTTCTTTGCTCGATGCTGGGCTTCGTTCCTATGGAAGTGGTGCCGCACGAGCCGCTTTACTTGATAGTGATAGCATTTATTCTGCTGGAAATGGCTACGAATACTTGATTTCACGTGATTTGGCTAGACGCAAGGGTGAAGGTTTAAATTTAAAAATTTTTTCTTTTTTAACATTTTAAATTCAAAGATAAATTTGAACATATCGACAAATTGCTCTGCTGCACGCTTTATAGTGCTGTTTTGACAAAAAATGGGAATATATTTTGGAGGTTGTTTTTTTTAAATTACGTCTCAAAAATTTTTAATTTAAGAGGAATTTACTCATTTAATGAGAGCAAGAAGATATGGGGAAAAATACTTGCCCGCAAACAAGTCGCTTTTGAATCATTTGGAACGAAAATTATTGGAAGCGAGGTTTCTATTCAATATTTTTGTTTAATTTAATGTTTCTTTTTTAAGGTGTGTACAAAATCTACTCCAATTTATTCATTTGGTTCTATTGCTGTGAACTTCAGTCAACGAATTCCAATGGTTTTTTTCTATTGTTTTTTTTATTTAACTGATCTTTCAGATTGGTGTTTTGTACGAGGATGCATGGACGTTGAATGAGACTTGTCGTTTCCGTGTCTTTGGGTTATTCAACTTAAAATATTTTATAATTTCAGTGTTTTTTAGAAATGAGAATGCTGATAATGGAAAGATTTATGGCTGGAGTTGGGAGATTGATTCGAAGCCTGACACTTCTCCACATGTTGCAAATGACATTCTTTCCTCATCCATTGGTATTTTTTATTAAAATTTAATTTGAATATATAACAGGGATGTCAAGTCCGAGAAATATGTGTCAGGTTTTCAAAATTTTTGCCGGATCGGGATTCAGATAGAAAAAGGCCGGGTTTTGTGTCTCGGCCCTGGGTTTTAGGGGGTTAATAGGGGAAATAAGTCGTGTCGGGTTTTGAATATTTCATAACTAAAATTTCTTGAATATGATTCTTTTTAAGGATTTTAAATTTTAATTAAATTTAGAAGAAGAAAGCGATGTTGACTCCATTTCTAATATCGAATCCTGTGGTCTTCGCGCAGCTGTGCTTTCTAAAAGTGACCGTGTTGGATCATTTGTTGACATGTCTTGTGGCAATAAACTTCCTGCTACATTCCAAATATTAGTTAATATTACGAATACAAGAACAATTACAATCGGCGTTAAACCTTCTCATACTATTGAGAATGTCAAGGCAAAAATTCAAGACAAGGAAGGAATTCCATATCAACAATTTTATTTGGTAACTTAAGTTTTAAAATACATTGAAAACATGTCCTTAAAATTAATTTAAAGATTTTTGGTGGTAAGCAACTTGAGGATGGACGTACTCTTTCTTATTATGAATTAAAAGAAAATTGTTTTGTTAATTTAATGATCCGAATTCTTGGTGGAAAAAAGAAGAAGAGAAAAATATATAGATCAAAGTGTTCAATGCAAAATTGTGATGTAATTAAATATGAATATAAGAAAATACTGCGTGCCAGGTACTATTCATGCCAACTGTGCCAAAACACGACACAGATAGAATTTTTAGTAAGTTTTTTTAAATACCGTAAATGGTCGAATAATTACCCCCTCTCTCAAATAATTACCCCTTTCCTTTTCTTCTCTAATTTCAAAAATATTGAAAAAATCATTGTCAATTTTAATTATTGAAACATTATAAGAATCAATTTCAAAAATAAATGGAGTTTCTCTTCGATTTATTGAGATATACCCAAAATTTAACCCATCCTCTTGATTAATTACCCCTCCAGCGAGAGGTCAAAACAATAATTACCCAGGTTAATTATTCGAGCATATACGGTAAATTCATTTTTATAGGTATCTTTCATCAATGACAAAGCTCAATGGACAACTATTGACCAAATTAATGAGTTCGTCTATGAATTCATTCAAAAAAACAACGTGAGTAAAATCATTACAAAATGCTTTACTTGCGGAGGCAAAAGAAAATTTTTTCTTCTTGATGCGGATGAGGAAGAAGAGGAAGAAGAATATGAGGAGGTGTTGGAGGGAGAAATTATGGAGCAAGTCAATTTTGGTGAAGGGGAGGAAGGGTTGGTGGGTGGGGAGCCTCGCCCTGCTGGAGAAGATGATGATGTATTTTTTGAGTAAATTTTTAAATTTTTTATTTTAATAAGGTGGATGTTGGTGGGCCTATGGATATGATTGGGCCTCATCCCGAGCCCCCTCCTGCCGTAATTGACGAGGCGGAGGGGAATGGGGGGGATGAGGAGCCCCACCCTGATGGAGAAGATGAAGAAGATGATGAAGTATTTTTGAGTAAATTTTTAAATTTTTTATTTTAATAAGGTGCGAACAATTGCTGGAGATATCGAACTCCAGGAGCCGATTGACGAGGAACCTGGGACCCACCCCGAGCCTCCTCTAGCCGTAATTTCCGAGGCGGAGGGGGCACCCAATCTCCTCACCGTACCTGGCGAGGTGCAGGGAATTGGGCGGGGTGGGGTACCCACTCCTTTGAATGAAAATGAGGTTTATTTTTGTGTTTATTGTTTTATTTTTTTAATTAGGACCCTTCAGGTCCTGGGACCTCAGGAACCCAGCCCGTGCCTCCTCCAGCCGTAATTTGTGAGGCGGAGGGGGCACCCACTCTCCTCGCCGTATCTGGCGAGGCGCAGGGGAGTGGGGGGAATGGGACATTGATTATTGATGGGAGTTTTGGAGTTGAGGTTTTAATTTATTTATTTTCCTAAAATATTCATAAATTTAGGAGGGGGAGGAGGATATTCTAGTTCAGCAGACTAGGAACAAGAGGGGTACAAATTTAAAATTAATAATTTAATTTTGGTAAAATACTAGGTTTAATTATAAATTAAAATAATTAGAGAAAGTAACCGAAAGGTTTAGTTTTCAGGTATCCTTATCTAATCTTTTTTATTGCCTGTAATGGGCGATTTCTTTTTTTTTATCTAATCTTTTTTATTGCCTGTCATGGGCGAAAATCTTCTTTTATTGCCTGTAATGGGCGAAAAAATCTTTTATTGCCTGTCATGGGCGTTAATAATCTTTTTAAACTGTCTTTCGTGTACTTTCTCTAATTATTTTGATTTATAATTAAACCTAGTATTTTACCATGATTAAAAATTAAAATAAAATTTCAATACCTATACTTAGGAATAATACCTAGCATTTAAATATTTGAGGTAAAAAATATACAGTAAAATTGAGTAATTATTTGTGAATATATGTGGTATTATTCCTAAGTATAAATTTTATAAATTAATTAAATATTAAGCTCACGAGAGGTCAGCATCCGAAAAATCAGCAAGAAATTTTTCAAAAAAACAGAAGTTTGAAAAAATTAAAAAAATCGTAGAAAATTTTGAAGAAAATAACGGTCCAATCAATGTAGACTTAAATGATTGGGAGACAGCTTCAATATCCTCAAGAGGTAGTTTTTACAATGATGATAGGAAAGTGATAAAATTAAAATATGCTCGGATTAATGAAATAGCTAATCTATTTAATCAAAAATAAATTTTTGTTGAATTTTTACAATTTAATTTTATATCCTATATATAATTTGAGTTTGTCTGAGGGAAAAAGTTTATTATTTTAACAAATATAAATTTTTAATTAAAAATATTTAAAATTGTTCACTTGGAAATGAAATGAATTAGTTTAAATTTAAATTTTATAGCCAATATTACAATTTATAACCAAAGTCAACAATTCTATAATTTGGTAAAACAATTCCTTTTAAAATAATAGGGCTAAATTTTTTGGAAATGTGTGTGGTACATACAATGCCTTTCTTAATATTGGGTCTTATGAAATGGGGATAATTGACTAAAATTAAATCATTTTCTGTACCTTCTGATTCATTCTTTTCCATCATTCGTCCAAATTCCAAAACACTTTCTCGGAATGATTTGTAATGAAGCTTCTTGCACACATCTGCGTTGAGTGTTATTCCTCGAACTCTCAGTGATGTCTTTTCTTTGCCCGTTTCTTTATCTATCATTTTTAGTCCATATGCCTTACAAGCAGCCCCCACATATTCTTTTATCTCACAATCATCATATTCTTTTGCTAGATCCCCTAGATATGGTCCATCGGAAAGAGGGCATTTGCGTTGTTTTGGATGAGCGAATAGAATGCTGTCTGTGTCGCCGTACAATACTGAACAGTCTGGTGTTCTGACTATTTTCTGCATTGCTCTTAATAATTTTATTCTCGCCATTGAGGTTGTCCAAAGAGAAATGACAATGTTGTAAGCATTGTGTTCCTCAATGAATTCATTTTTAGGCTCATAAGTTATTAAAATGGTGTCTTCTGTTAATTTGTCTATTGAATTGACTTCTATTGATTTATTCTCTGCAAATGTTCTAAGTTCGGCAGGCGAATCTGTGATATGGCTTTTTGTCAAAGTATTCCTAAGACTGAAGCGGCCCCAAAGTGAATTTAACATTAACTTGGAAATGTACCTCATTGCTTTGTCTGGCATCATTTTTTCTCTTTCTATTTTGATTCCAAATCTCTTCTTGCATTCCATTATAAATTCATCTTCTTTCTCTCGGCTATCAATTTGTTTTGGGAATCCACTTGAATGTATTTTCATGCTCATAAATTCTGCAACATATTCTTTGAAAAGTTCACCATCCCATTTATCATAATGAAGTGCTCTAAAATATTTGCTCACTCTATATCCATTGTCTAAAGCCTCAGCCAATTCAATTGATGTGCATGTTGAAACCCATCCCCTCTTTTCACCATTATGTGTACAGCTGTATTCATGTAATGTAGCGCCTCGGGGAAAATCCAGCGAACATTGTCGACATAGTGGAAAAAGCAATCTATCATCGAATTTTACAGGCATGACTGGTATATCCGAGTGTTGTGGTGGTATTAAAAAAACTTTAAGTATTCCTTTCACAGGAATATGGCTGCTGTTGTACCAATTTACTTTTTGCTCATTTGATGGTATTATGATTACTTTTGGATGGCCCACAGGAAATGCTGTTGTTGCTATTGTCGATGGATAAAGCGAGTTGAAGTCTAAGTATGTAATATCATGTTGATCGTCTGCCTCATAGTAAAGACTAAATGGACCAGTTCTCCCACCAAAGAAGCAATCTCGTAATTTAATTGGTCCTTTATCTATGTAGTTTGAAAAACTCTTCTTCATTTTTCTATCTCTTCTTAACAGGTCTTTTATTTCACACTCCCACACTATGTCGACATATCGTATATGTTGTTTTAAAATTTGAATTCTCTCTTTATTTTCCTTTTGAATAACTTCAACTGTCTTTCCACTGGGTAATATGAAATCTGGACGATCCCCATAGTGTTTTGGACACGCATGCCACACACATCCATTTACTTCTATTGCTCTATCCTCACTTTTTATATATCCGTCGACTTTAAATCTTCCAGCAACTTTATATTCACCTTCCTCAGAGTGGGCAGTTTGAATCACAACCGAATTTTTTTCCGCATACCAATCGAGATATTTCATAGCCAATGTGCTTTGGTTGTCGCATGTGTCGTATCCCTTCTCAGGAACAATACCCAAATGATCAGGTTTCAGATGATTTAATCTAAAGTGTTTCATGCATGCCGACGCGATTGTCATTGTATCACGTATAATATCTATTCCAATTGAACCTGTTGTTTGTTTTGGTCGGCTAATTTCCAAAAATTTGCTGCGGAATGCTAATAATGCTTCTGTTAGGATTTGAACGTCGTTCAAGCAGTATTCAGCTAGAGCTTCATTTAAACAAAAAGGTTGGTGACATTCCTGGGCGTACCACTTATCAAACGTCTTTCGTTTATCTGGTAGCATACCACCATACAAATAATCAGATTTTTGAGGGAGGTTTGGAAGTGTTTTGTCGTAGTTGTTGGGATTGTTTGCCAAATGTGGAAAGAATTGTTTTTCTTGGATTTGTAGATCGAAAGCACCAACAAGTTGACCTAGTCCTACTGGGCAAATGTTGTAAGAGTCACGGAATATTACTTCATTGCATTTATTATTACGTTGAACTTTCATTTCATATAATTTATTTCCTCGTCGAATCATTGATGGAACAATCCCTGCTGCAAAAATTTCTCGAAAAACCATCACCATGTCATATCTTCCGCCAAAGTGAGAAAATGCTATAGTTGTAAAGTGTCCATCAAGTTCAAATAGTAACCAATTGACAAATTCATGAAGAGGATTTGTTGTAACTCGTTGCTCGTCGACTTTTGTTTTGTAAAAGGGGCGTTGTGAAAAAGTGATGTTTCTATTTGGGCCACAAACATTACAAAATTTTTTGTCACGTCTTAGAAATGTTTTCCAGTGCTTTTTATCCAACATACAATTAGTGCAAACTACAGTGGCAGCAATAAAATTCACACAATGAAGTCGATCTGATGAACTGTCATTAAATTTTGTATGTTGAGTAGCTTCAAAATCGAATGTCACCAATCTATAAGTTGTTTGTTGTTTTTGTTCAAGCGGTCTTATGAAACATCCTCTTTCTGCACTGTGAAATTGAAAACAGTTGTTGCACCATTTTTGTCCACAAACATGTTGTTTTCCTCTATTATCTCTGTGCACTTTTACATTCCATATTGTACCGCATTTGTCACATTGTTTTGACCTTTGACATTGGTTGCTAGACTTATGATGGTCGAAGCATTCCTTTTCCCAAAACTTTTTCCCGCAATCTTGACATTCTTTTCTAAAGTTTTCAGAAACAGGGCAAGGCATTCCTATTCCAACTCTTCCACATAGACGACATCGGGATTTGCAATTGTTAGCGTGTTCGTTTGCTTTCCAGTACTTCTTTTCGCAAGAGTAGCAATATTGCCAATGTGGGCCAAATTGAGCGCCAACAGTTCTAATTCCATCGAAATGACCTTCAGAATGGCATATTGGAATTGCAGTGTTGAAAGTTTCGGAACCATATTTGTACTTTGGAGTTGTCTCTGCTTTATTCCCAAATATAAACACTTTGAAGCGATATCCGTTGTTAATGTAATATTTATTCCAATAATCGACTACCATTGGGACATAAGTTTGAGCATCATATTTTTCTTTGTTCAATGGAATACCAATATCCTGCATTAACTTCATTACATCTGATTTTTGCTTATGGAATCGCCCCAAATGATATCGACTAAACTTTAATCTACTTCCTAATTCCTTCGTTACATATTTCCTTGTAAGTTCCAAAGCATAGAAAAGGCAATATTTATCATTAACATTTTGAACATGTATGAGCCAATTTGAATTAGCAGGTTGATCTTGAGGTCCACTTCCTGTTATTGATTTTTCCTTTGGCAAAGAAGCAACGTCCAGAGAATGTATTGCCAACGTGAATGGCTCGCCCCAAAGAGATCCACGTTCAGCTTTAGATTGAGAGACAAGAAGAAATCGTTGTAGTATATTTTCAACAGCGTCAATATGTAGTTTGCGAATTGGAATCCAGATATCACTGTCGAGTATTGGTGAGGAAATTAAAGCCCCAAGGTGGTCCACAATAATATTTTTCGTCTTTGATTCTTTGATTGCTTGTTTGATACACTCGTCGATGAGGCGTCTAAGCAGTTCCTCGGGATTAGGCGGAACGTTTTTGATGACAAATTTCGAAACAATTTTCATTATTTTGAATTTTTTACAATATTGAGTCTCAGAATCGAGTTGTTCAATAAAATCTTTTAATGACCCTATGCCTATTTGTTCAATTTGATCTCTTCTTTGATTGTTATCATTTCCTAAAATATTTTCAATAAAAAATCTGGGGCGTTTGGGTGGGCTACAGCCGGACATGTTTTTGTTTGAAAAAAATATGAAATGAAAGAACTGTGCAATATCATCGCTTTATATACTAGCTGATAATATGGGCGTATCATGTTTATACAGAGCGCCATTTCATTTCAAATACTATGAATAATTAAGGGAAAGGAATGTGTCATGAATAAGTAAGGGGAAGGAATGTGACTATGAATAAGCAATGGAAGTTATCTATGTATAAAAAGACAAATCAAGTTTGAACTATGAATAATTACGATAAAATGTAAGCGATTTCCTATGCAAATTTAATTTAAATTTTTAAATAAAAAATTCAAGCTTAACCTAAGCTTTAAACTTAACCTAAAACTCAATAAATAAAAAACAACAAATATTTTTACTTGACAAAAAATTAAAGCCAATTATAATAAAAAAATTAACATTACATTAAAAATCAAAAAAATCGCGGATTACTACGTTTGGTTCGACGCGAACGCCGAACCAAACGATTGTATTCCGCTTTACAACAAGCACAATGTGGAAATTCTCCTAAAATCTGATCATAATCCACTGATCTTTTCCAATCATACATGTCCGCCAGCTTCTCTTCAATACCATCATTCACACAGTCCGCACAGTAGTTAACACAGGAACAACCACTTGGGCCAAAAGTTATGTTGACCTCCTCCTGTGTACACAAACATCCGATGCAAACATCGGACGCATGTTTTACAGAAGGAGTAGTAGTTTTCCTCTTTTTTGTTGGTGGTTCTGTTGGTGGTGTCGGTTCTTGCTGTTCAATTTGTTGTTGTTGTTGCTGTTCAATTTGTTGTTGTTGAGCCGGCGCAATATTTTCAAAATTGAACACATCCAAATCCATATAAACTGGTGGTGGTGTAGGTGATGGTGGTGGTGTAGGTGATGCGACCAGTTCATACGAAACACCATCATCCAATTGATGAGGCAATTGCCAAGGCACAATTTCCTCGGCAAGTCCAATTGGCATATGTGTCGGTGTAGAAACTAAAAAATATAAATTATTTATTTTATACCCCATCTAAACCCGAAAATATTGAAAGAAATTACCGTATGAACTTCCAGATTCCCAATTCCAATTTGCAGGTGGAACCCAATCAGCATAACGGTTTTCGGGAGTCCATTCCCACGGAGCAATTGCAGAAGTTCCTTGTGCCATCATTGGATCATTATTTGGAGTCGACAATAATTCGGCTCTTCGCAATTCCATTAATCGGAGTTGCGTATGATGAACATCCGGCGAGAGTCCTCTCGCTCTTTCTCCACGATCAGCCGAAAAAGGCCACCCACGATCCATTTCTATATATTTTTAAATTAAATGAAATTTTTTTAAAATTTTTTACCGTTAGATTCGACCTCGTCGATAACGAGTTCGTAAACGGGATTTTCGGAAGAACTGGTTATCATTATAAATTAATAAATAAAAACTAAAATTTAAATTCAATAATAAAAAAAAGTTAAAGAAAAATTTAAAAAATTTTAAAAGGGTAACTGGGAAAATTAAATTAATATGAAGAAATTACCTATCATTTGGCTTTATAAACGGTGAAATTAGCATATTGCCACAAAGTTCCGCCTTTATTTCAAAGAACTGCCGTTCAGAGCTGATCTAATCAGTGAAAAGAATGTGCCATTCTGCGAAGGGAAAAAGGAAAGGGGAAATGAATGCTTTTCTAGCTTCAAAGAACTGGCGTTTAAATTTGAACTGATCAGTGAAAGAATGATTGCCAGTCAGGGAAGGAAAAAGGAAAGGGGAAATGAATTTTTTTCTAGCTTCAAAGAACTGACGTTTAAATGTGATCTGATCAGTGAAATAATGTTTGTCTGTTAGAAGGAAATTAAAAAAAAAGTTGAAAGGGAAAGTAAAAGAAAAGTTCTTTTCTTTATTAGTGCCGATTTGTCTGACATTAAGTTAAAAATTTAAAAAAATTTAAAGTTTTAAAGCGGTTAAAAAGTTTTGAAAATTTTTTGCTTAACTATTTAACACTACCTAATATTTAAAAATGTTTTAAATTAAAATATTTATTTCCATTTAATAAAGTGAAAAATTTGAATATATTTTTGATATGATAGTGTGATTAAAAAATTTTTTCATTGGTTTTGAATTTCTTGTCCACCTGATGTTTTCTTTATATCCCAATCACATAACACATCTTTTACTAACATATTGAGCTGAACACACTGTTTGCAAATATCAAAGCTAATTTTTACTCCTCCATCTTGATTTTCAATCACTCGACTTGTACTGTGAAAAAGTACATTTGAACATGTGCGACAAAGTCTAAATTCTAGCCGAGGAATGTATTTCATTCTGACTAATTTCCACAACATTTTGCTATTTGTAGATACTTTTGTAGGATTTTTTGTATTCGTTTTCTTTTGTGCTGTCTTTTTACTTAACCAGACATCAATTGTCCCAGAATTTTCCTTGGCTGTTGTATTTTCATCCATGATTTCTATCACATCAACAGCTTTAGACTCAGTATCTGATGTCTTTGGAGAATTAGGAGTGGACATCTTTTCAAATTTTATTTAAAATTATTTAAGAATGAAGTTTTGGGTTCCAAAATTCAGATATTTATACCTCAGAAAATGGGCGTGGTATGCAAATATTTACGTTATCACAAATCATCAGATATAAAAGCGAATCATTTTCTTTATATTCATTCATTTTAAATTAAATTTGAATAATTATTTTTGAATATTTATTAATAAAAAATGTCAAATCTCCTTGAAAGAATTTCAAAAATTCTAGATTGTACAATTGATAATGTCAGACAACG